ACATGGAATATGACAGGAGATATTGACAGCATTGTGTCTTGTGGTTTTCCTGAACTGTACCTCCAATGCTAGTGGTCCAATCACTGGCTTCCTCACAAGTTTCTATGGTGATTGTAGCAGGAGATCCATTTACTGCAACCAAGATCGAAAAGGAAAAGAAAACACAAGTCATGGCTTCACAAGTCTTGCCACATAGCGTCAGACTGTCCCTGCATTATACACCCACTCACTATGTTACATCCAAGAAAACAGGCAAGTCCATGCAGTACTCAATATTGTATGAACTTATCTCCTCCAGCTGAAAGCCAAGCAAACAGAGACTCTGAAGTGGGATTAAAAGTCACATGAGACCATTGTTTACTTTGCTTACTTTCCATACAGCTGGGCAATATCCTGGGCACTATTTACACAACTCTTGCAAAATTCTCTTTGCATCGGGGAGAGTAATTTCTTTATTATAATAATAATAGAAAAATTAATGTAACAGAGGGCTGGCAAGTAGAATTTGTATCTGGTCTGGTAAGTGTTCAGGGCAATTACCTGGCTTGCTGCCAATCTACAGGACGTGGAAGAGACACAAAATTCTTAAGAGTCTGCCTCTGACCTGTGGTTTGACAGGCCTGAAAACTGAACTGACCCAGTCATTCCTACAGATAATACACACTGGGATACTGTTCTACCCTGGCTGCCTCCAGCGTATATGACTGTGATCATACTCCCGCCCAGCCACTCATGTGATCTCTGCTCTCCACAGCCCTTTCCAATCTCTATGGTACTGTTACTAGGGAGATGAAGGAGTCACATGTCAGTTGAGCTGCCAGGAGGATGTCAAGCTGCATGCAGGAGCTGTACAGCTTCAAATCTGGGCCAGAGATGCAGTGATCGTTCTGGGAGCACTAGAATGCTCTCCTGAAAGACGAGCAGTTTGTAACATTCTGTAGTTTTCAAATAATTCTTTCCCTGAGGAGTTTGTTCCTTCCACTCTGCAAATTTGGTTTTTCCCACTTGTGCCAAATACAGCCTGACACCCACAGTGAGGAAACATCCTGGTTTGCACGTTAACATCTTGGATTATATTAATAAAACTGCTCACAGCGACAAGGGTTAGAGCCACGCTGTGGGGCGGAACTACCACTGAAATAAACAATGGGTTACACATGTACAGCAACCATAAATACTAGCCCAAAGCATGGAATTCAATTGTTAAATGCTCTGGGCAGATCCAGCACAAGGGTACAAAAACAATTTTTGCTTTTCTCCTGCAAAATCTGTGGTTATCAGATTTTTTTCCCCCTAAGTTCTCAGTGGCAAAAGGATTTGCAAATATAAGTATTTAGAAATAGGAGCACATTTCCACAGAACATTCCCTGCTTAAGGCAAATCAAATTCAGAACTTAAACTCTAAAGCAATGTCCTTTTAAATTCATTGTTGTAACCTATTTGTGTGAGATCTGATAGAAATTTGTAGCATTCCATGGCTGCATTTAATCTTTCATCAGACAAAGCAATAAATAATTCAGAAACGGAGCCTTAAATGAAAATATCTAAATTATTCAGAAGGAAGTCAGTTGCCATCTTTGAAAGAAAGTGCAATAAAAGGGGCCCCAAATCCAGCATGCTGTGACAAAGGAATCATGCTCATCTCTGCAGCCATGAACACTGAGGACAGCTAGCAGCTGATCAGATGCTGGCGCTGACGGATGACCACATCACGGGGGGACTACTGCGTTCCTGCAGATTATCTGGAGGTCACTACTTGGCTATGCAGCTCCTAGTAAGCCAGGATGCAGTATGGGTAACTCTTTAGAATGAATATCATTCTTACAGATTACCCAAGTGATTTCCTTCCAGGCAGCCACTGCTCTGCCATGCAGCGTTACAATGGCTGCTTCTGCATAGTTCCAACATGGGAGACCCAGCAACAGGGGGAGGGGGAGAAGTGAAGGAGGAAAAAAGTAACAAGAAAAAACATGATAGAGACAACAGTAACTGCATTCATAAGGAAGCAGTAATTAAGCTTTGACTCTTAAAGTGCCCCAGTAGCGAGGGCTGTGGAAAGCACTCAACATACCGTCTGCAGAGGCAGGGGTGAGAGGAATATACTCTGTTGACGTCTGGCTGGTCAGAGACACTCTGGCTCCGGTCAGGTCAATTTTAGTGCTTCGGCAGGTGTTTGAACAGACCTTGGTATGTTGGTAGAAATCCAGCTCTCCAGAGTCCATGATCTTCCTGCAGCACAAGGAATGAGCGTGAGTACACACTTGTATCAGTATGTCACAGACTCAGTGAGACAGATCACTAAAAAACAGCTCCCCTTCTGAAGTTTTTAACTGCATTTCAGACACGTAAACCTCTCAAAACCCTGCACGAATTAACTCTGCACTTCAGCTTCTGCTCTTCTTTTCCCTTAAATTTAAGATGATTCCGATTGGCCTGGTGGAGAGGAAGCAGAACATGAGATTGCCCTGCAGGATAATCAACTGCTGAAGTGCCCCCAGGACTCCTGCTCAAGGGGCCAGTAAAGATCAGAGGGACTGGTAGAGGTAATGGGCCAAGAGTTGCTTCTCTTTTCTCCCTATTATCCAATTCTTTTGGGAACATGAACCAAATTAGTGGCCCATAAATGAAAGTTTCGAGTAAGAAAATCCACTCTGACAGGAAGAGAGGGGAAAAATTGTTTACCAACAAGACGAGCATTTAATCCCCTTCTATACAGCCTTTACATGTGAGTTTAGCAACTATACCACTCACTAGAGCTGAATAGCATGCTAATACATTGTGAATAGGGCAAAACTGTGTGAATATCCACATTCACAGATATATGCCAGCACTTTGAATACAGGAAGCATGGTGGGTGTCCCTGAGTTGATAAGCAGGAGGTTAGAAGCGCTGATGGAGAAGTTAGTCAGATTTATTGGGAACCAGGTTCAAGCACACAGAGTTCTCTGCCTACTGGCTGAATGCCCCACGGAGGGGTCAGTTAGAAGATAATATGCTCAGCTGAGGAAGGGAGAGAAAGTGGAAATTAAGCCACAATGGGCTTCTTTTGACAAACTCCAGGCTTAGTTGTCAAACAGGAAGAGGAGTGAGCGAAGGACAAAGGAAGATCTTAATCTGATCCTATTGGACATCTAATGCCAACACATGCCCCCATCATCACAGAACCTCTATAAAGTATGGCACAATGACCACCTCAAATTAACAGAGAAATAGCAGGAAGTTGGTTTCCCTTTATCACCCATTCATCTACCCCGCATCCTGGAGACTCTCCCTCAGTGTAAAGAAGGGCTGGATGTCGCTCCTTTTGGAATCTAAAAATGAGGCATCTCAGCTCAGCAAAAGGACATTGCCAAAGTTGCACAGATGGTCTCCTCACCCCCAGGTAGTGAGCATGCTGCCTCTATAGTACTCTGAGCCTCTGCTGGCTGGAGACAACATCTTGGATTGCTGGGCTCTGTTTGCCACTAGGTTACTGGGCTGGCCCTCACACATCCTTTGTAAACAGGTTTTGTTCCTCAGAAGAGCAGCCTTGCCAAAACACTGATGTATTGGGTTACAACGACCAATGAGTAAAAGCTGATTAACAAGAATACGAGAGCAGTTTGTGTTATTGCAGGAGCTCAGGGGGTGGGGCAGCCTTGCTATGAAAGGAGTGTGGAGCCATTTACAATTCTGCGGTAGGGGATGATTTCTTTTTGCTTCTGACTATGGATGAAGAAACAAGTGGATTTTGGTCAGACAGAAGTCTCGAGCTGGTGCTCTGGGAGACCATAAGGAAAGGAATTTCTGTAGTCAAGGCCAGAGAAGAGGAAGGCACAAATAAGCATTTTGGCAAAAAAAAGTGGTTTAAGACAGACATAACGTAACAGTATGGCTAGATTAATCTCATGCAGCAGGGAGTGCGGATTCAGTAGGTGGCATTCTTCTCTCAATCAGTAATGAACCAATGCTCTGGAATGGTGTTCAGGAGTGCTCTGCTGCACAAGTTCTGTCTTTTAGAAGAGATGTAAACAGCACAGTCTGACAACTTGTGGCCATTAAACTCATGACTCTATTTGTACGAGGAGATGGGGTTTTAGTCCTCGTCAAGTTCCAGATAAGGAAATTAACGTTTGCCTTTCCAAATCTCCCCTGCATTTCCAACTGGATAGTGTATTCTCTTTACTTCCTGTTCTAAAACTGTTGTGCGCTATTGCTGTGTGGCTGTTACATAACTGCCATGCACCGCCTAGAGGCAGCTGCATATCACATTGTTGCCTTGGGACTATGACAGGTAGTGACAGTCCCTCATTTCTTAACCACCTCTGCCTACCTGCAACAAGGAAAACACTTACATAAACCTGATCACTGGATGGATAGACAGTTATTGGGACAAATTTTCAGGGTATTCAGTGGCACACATATCCACTCAGTCGCTTAACAGCTGTATCAGAGCATGCGGCACATCCTCCGGGATTCTCCCAGAAAGAAGAAACCATGGCCATCCATGCACATATACAAGCAAGCAAAAAGACTAACCTGAGCATGATCCCATTCATCCGGATTGCTCGCTTCCAGTCCTTCAGGGTTGACTTGCCAGCCAAGTGGACAAACTCTTTGGGACTAATTAGGTGATCATCATACTGCAAAGGGGAGAAATGCAACATGGTGTGACGCAGCAGGAAAAATGTGGACTCGTTCCACATGAGAGGACAGGCATATGTTATACCAGGGTGCATAAACTGTATTTAGCATTGTGCCCAGTGACAGAGCAGAACGACCCTGATGGCCAAGTTTTAATATTACTGTTAAAACCAAAGCTGGGCTTATACCAAAACTCCTGATCTGAACAACCCCAAAGTTTGATAGGACTCTCTGGGCTAGGCCCATCTCTAGTGAAAAATCACCCACCAGGATATTGTGATTACACAGAAATATATCCTAACAGGAGCCAAGAGTCTGAACTTTGGCAGAAATTGGTTTCAAATTCTTCTCCTAGCCCTGTACATACCACAAAGCATCAGACAAGAAGGTCATACAAGATCCATTCTAATGCGGCTTGTGCAAAATAGAATTTGCATTATAGTGTGCTGCTCCATACCATGTGCAACTAAGCCACTATTTTATTTAGCTCTCATCTGCTCCCACTAACTATCAAGCAGACTAGTGACAAATAACAGATTGCTCCCACCCATCATTAGTATCCAGTCTTCCTAACCCCAATGGTCAACCCCACAAAGCACCTCAACAATGACTTGACTAGAAGAGATGCTAAGACTCAGGCTCTTTGGCGGCTCAATCTTTGGCCTCTGCAGAGTTAGTCAACAAGCACAATTAGTGCCAACGACAGCAGCCGCTTTTATGATGGGGACATCTGTCCCCCTGGGAACTAGATTGAGACAACCAGCATATTTCATATTGAATAGTCATGTGACATCTTTCCCTCATTACTGACCGGGTGGATTTGAATTGGTGACCTAGGACCCCTACTGAACTAGACAGTCCTCCTTTAATAAACCTTCTATGGGGAATTCCAGTAGGGATTTGCCACCTTCAGGGCTCTTTTCATTCCCTCCTAGGTTAACAAGTAAATCTGATATTTCCAACCGCTGCATGCCATGAACCATTGATCTATAACAGAAACCAGAGTCAAGTGCAAAGAGGAAGCTGATCTCCGGTGGTAGCAGGCACAACTGATCTGCTCCAGTCTCTATTGTTTGCTTTGGAGAGAGAGAGACCTGGAAAGATCCATCTCGCCAAGAGGAGGGGGAGTAGGCCATCTCATCAAAAGCTGTCTGGCAGCGCAGCCTGAAAGCAGATCCTTCTTAAGGGACAGATTATTGTTTACCATTGATGCCTTACTGTGTTATCATGAAACACATGTTCTGGGAATGAAAAGTGCCCCCCACTCCTCCACTCATGAAGAGTTTTTTTCATCCCCAACCATCTGGGGTGGAAAGGGTGGAAACAGGTCAATACCATCTTTACCAAGAAGGTTTGCATCACCGTATCAATTTCTCTTAAACTGAGCTGATAAAGGGAATGTCTAGGTTTTAGAAAACTGCTCAAAGGCAGAGCCAGATTGAAGTTGAAGCTCTAGCCAGAGCTGCTCAGTTTTCCTATGAAGCACTAAGTCACAATAACAGACTGCATGAAGACAATGGTACTCAAAATAGTTTCCTCTCCTTTCCCCTTTAAAGCAGGATCTCAACTTAGTTATAACAGAGCCCTGCTTTCTGACACAGTCAAAACCACATATGGATGGAGTTTACAAACTGGTAGCGTGATCTACCATAGCAATAGCACTGGAATGATAGATTTCATTAGCATCTGTGGTCCTTATTCTCCTTTCTGGGCCAGGAGGGTAACCTAAGAGCACACTTCTTATCTCCATACATGCGGTCCTTAGGGACCTTGTGGTTTGAGCATTGGCCTGCATTGGCTTGCTAAACCCAGGGTTGTGAGTTCAATCCTTAAGAGGACTATTTGGGGATTGGCCCTGCTTTGAGCAGGGGGTTGGACTAGATGACCTCCTGAGGTCCCTCCCAACCCTGATATTCTATGATTCTATAACACTGTACCCTCACCTGGACACATTTCACATTAATGCCTGGGCACACGAACTTCCTCCATATCAGGTTGGCTTTACTATCTCCGCAGGTGATGGGATAAACAATCTCAGCCTCCAAGCTGTCCTCCTCTTCAGCCATCTTCACTTCTCACAGGGAATGAGAAGGCAGGGATCGGGGCGGGTCAGAAGGAAAATGAGTTACAACTATTGATTACTGTCAAGAGTTAAAGACATTTTGGGACAGAGTTTTAAAGCTTGGGAGCAAAAAGAGAAGGCAGGCAGGAAAACCAGGCTCTTCAGACAAATTTTTAGCCAGCCTTCAATACCAAGCAGCCATTTGAGACAGATGATATAGTCACACACATTATTATGGTGCAATGGTCTATTTTCAAGGTGGTGGGTCTTCCACTGTTCCCAAAGGAGGGCTTATAAGCAGGTAATCATGTCTTTTGCAAATTAAACACTTGCAAACCCACTTCAACTCAGTTGGTGAATATTTCCTACCCGCCTACACTGGAGTGAAGCCACTCAAGTGAGAGCCACAGGAACATTCCAAGATACAAAAGCATCACTGTCCAAGCCCGAGCATCAATACTTTATTACAGGGATCAGAGAGTTTTTGGGAGTCACCATTTTTATTACTAGAGTAAGTTCATTCAACTTAATTCAAATAATGAAGAGGCCAGCAAACCCAAGGGAGACTTTCCAAACTAAACTGGTTTATGCCACTGCAGCCCAATTGGCAGAGACATTCTTACAATTTTTGAGTCATAAATTCGTCGTCAGGTTTCAGAAGCAAGCAGTAATGCTCTTGTAAACAGACAATTTGATGATCCCATGGCTGAACTATGGGCAAAACATATAGGTAGCAGATTGAATGGGGAATAAATTCAAGCAATCCCACTCTTAGCCAGGAGAGGGCAGCAGTGTGCTATGAAACCATATCTGTCCAAAGCAACAAAGAGTCCTGTGGCATCTTATAGACCAGGGGTTGGCAACCTTTCAGGAGTGGTGTGTCGAGTCTTCATTTATTCACTCTAATATAAGGTTTCGCGTGCCAGTAATACATTTTAACGTTTTTAGAAGGTCTCTTTCTATAAGTCTATAATATCTCACTAAACTATGTGGTATGTAAAGTAAATAAGGTTTATAAAATGTTTAAGAAGCTTTGTTTAAAATTAAATTAAAACGCAGAGCCCCCTGGACTGGTGGCCAGGACCCGGGAAGTGTGAGTGCCACTGAAAATTAGCTCGCGTGCCGCCTTCGGCACGCATGCTATAGGTTGCCTACCCTTATTATAGACTAACAAATGTATTGGAACATAAGCTTTCGTGGGTGAATACCCACTTCGTCAGACGCGTATCTGCCCACTCTCCCTTTTGGGCCTTCTCACCTTCCTTTTTGTCACATGCAGTTAGGAGGCGGGATTATGGCTCTACTGTTCTGTTTCTTTAAGCAAATAACAGCTACAGTGATGCCTGCAGGAAATGTGTGAAACCGTGATCTGATCCTGAAGGTGTCAGTCTGCCTGCTCTGCAAGGAGGCTCCTGGCCTCTCACTGGCAGTGTGGTGTGCTCCCAGGCAGCGGAGCTAGGCAGACCTGCAGCACTCAAACCCTCAAGCAGCAGGACTGCTGATACTGCAAAGGTGCCATGAGGAAGGTTGCAGTAAAGGCCAAGGCGGTACACTGAACCTACCTAAGACAGCTTCTTTCAGATGTGTGGAAGCTGTGAAGGCAGCAGCGGCTGCAGCAGCTGCATTTTCTGTCTCCAGGGTGTCTTCATTTAGGTCGCCACTGGTAAAAGAGTTGGAGATGGAAAATTAAGGCATTTAGATGAATCATTCCCATTTCTGATCTCTGGAGCGAGCGCTGTTTCGAAGGTCACTTGTAATACACTTTGGTGTGAGCCAAAATATGTCCCCGTAATCCCTAGAAATGCAGATCTCTTTCCTCAAGAAAGTATCCATTGGCAAAAGGTAAGTTCTCTTTTCCTCACTTAATTAAAAACTTGGAGTCTGATGTTGCCAACTCCAGCCCAGTACAACACTTGTGTGATCCCTGTGCTGCAATTTCCTGATTCATTCATAGGAAGCTGGCTATTTCCCTCCGCCAGCACAATGGAAATCAAAAGCAGACTGTTGCCAGTCACTGGCAACCTCTTTTAAAAAGATTCCCAAAGGAAGCAAGTGGGCAACATTCCTCAGCTGGCTGGAGGATGGACTAGATGACCTAATAGGTCTTATTTTCCATCTCTAACTTCTATGGCTCTATGCTTCTTAGGAATAGGACCCAAGAGGGCTGGAAAAATAGTAGAGTATTTAATTAAAGCTTTCCCCCCCCCCCCAATATGGGTTAGGCAAAACAAGGAGGAAAGATTAACAGACTTTGCCTGGAAGCAGGATTATATTACCTTTGTTTCTGAACTTGAATGAATCTTGGTGACGTTGGAAAAATGTGGCAGCAGCATGGTGTGGCATGTCAAAAGTATCCAGTGTGATCAGCACCTAGAGTAGCTGATCATTCTGAATTGATGGATAGACATTTGGCACGTCATTGTACCCCAGTGAACTTGCTCAATGTTAAAACTACCAGTTCATATTGAATGGGAAAAGAAGAAGGGGCAAAATAAACATATAGAGGCCCCATCTACATAGGACTTTTAACCACGATCTGGAAAACTGTGCTTAAGCATGTTTTAAACTTGGTTGTCTGGGTTATAACTAGTTCTGCCAGCTGATGAATGAGAGCAAATTATGACCAATTATTGTGTCTAATGTGTTTTATCCCAGGGGGAGAGCGAGGCTAGAAGGACTCTAAACCTGGATTGAATGCAGTTTGATCCTGTCCATGTTGACAGATGAAAGGGCTTGAATCCATACTCCCGGTGAGCATAGGGGCCCCAAACCATGAATTTCTGCAAAATTTGTTTTAAATTAAGCTTTTAGACCTTATGGTTTCAAGGATAATTCTGCAAATGTGAACCAAATGCAAACCAAGGCAGTGTTGCTTCCTGAGTCTGGACCCAGACAGCTCCAGTGCCTCTGCTGCTGCTCAGTAACTTTGGCCAAACTTCAGAGAGAAATAAATAAAACTCTGGTCAGTTTCACTGCTTGTTTCAGAAACTAGCTGTGCAACTGTCAAGGGCCATGTCACTGTCACACTGCTGCTGCTGGGGAATGGTTTATGCAGCAGTAGAGACAGGAACTATACTTACTCACAGGGTAGGAGGATCCAGGAAATGGAGACCTAAGGAAGGAGTAGTGAAACCTACCCTGCTTGCAACAACCAAAAGACTCTGGAGGAGCAAAAAAACCAGGAATCTCTTCTCTGATCCAACAGTAAGAGGGAGGCATATCTTTCATTTTATCTACTAACCAGAGGCTGATACGTAAGATGGCACCTCCAAGCAGGAACTGGTTAGCACCCTGGTAGAAATCCCACCCAGCCACTGGAGGAGGAGGCAGGAGATGCTGGGCTTCTAACGGAAGTGTTCCACCTGGATCTCACAAGTGGGGCCACCCCTCCTCTTGCCATCTCCTGGCACACAAATGAGTTAAACTATGGTCAGCCTGATTGTTAAACATGGTGAAGATAGGACTGGAAGGAGAATGAAGTGTGTGTGTGCATGCTGGAAAGGGAATACTCATACGTTCTGCTTTAAGAAAAAAGGGCTAAAACAAACCTGAGCGTTATGGTTTCAGAACACGGTATGCACATGGGCGATGTGCAGAAGTTATCTTACAATACACATTGGTATTTGGGGATAAATCTAAAGACCAACAGAGTAGCTCATGTCATTGCTGTTCCTCCCCACTCCTCCCAGTCACTTAGAGCAGAAATCAAAGTAGGAGCTGCTAGCTTCAGCTCTCTCCGATCCTGGAATACCTGCACTTGCAGTGATGATGGAAGTCAGAGCCCCTTCTAGGTTTCAATTGGCTCATGCATCACTGGAGAATTGCAGGGACATGTTCAATTCTCTCTGCTGGATACTTAGGCCTTGTCTAACTACGGAGTTTTGTTGACAAAAAGCAGCTTTTGTTGACAAACCAGTGAATGTGTACACAATGCAATGCGACTTTTGTTGGCAAAAATGCCGTTTCGTCAGCAAAATAAAACCACCCAGACGAGAGACAGAAGGCTTTCTGGGCAAAATTTTTGTTGACAAAGTGCCAGTGTAGACACCATGCTGGATTTTATCACTCTAATTGGCCTCCAGGAGGTGTCCCACAATGCCCAATTGGACCGCTCTGGTCACCAGTTTGACTTCCACTGCCCTGCAGCCAGGTAAACAACCATGTGCCCCTCCCCCTTAGAAGCCCTGGGAATTATTGAAATTCCATTTCCTGTTGGTTTGCCATGGAGAGGTCTCATCGCATCTTCCCAGGTGACCACGGCGGGTTATCGCAGCAAATGCTCTCCCACTTGGACCACTGCAGAGCTGCTAGATCTGATCAGTATTTGGGGAGAGGAAGCTGGGCAGTCCCAGCTGCGTTTGATGTATGAATTTTGATACTTACAGGCAGATCTGTCAAGGCTTGTGCGAGAAGGGCTACGAGCGACACGCTGCAGTGCAAAGTGAAGATAAAGGAGCTGAGGCTGGCAAGGGAGGCAAATCGTTGCTTCGGTGCTGCACCTAAGACCTGCCAGTTCTATAAGGAGCTGGATGCTATCCTCGGTGGCAACCCCACCTCCACCACCAAGAGTCCCGTGGATACTTTGGAGGGAACGGAGGCGGCGGAAAGAGAATCTAACCCAGAGGACGAAGTCATTGATGAAGAGGTGGAGTTAGATGATGGTGTGAGGCTCCCGGGGCTAGGCAACCAGGAACTGTTCAGCACTCCGGAGTTGTCTAGCCAGTCTCAGCAGTTGCTCTCCGGTGGGCAAGAAGCAGGAGAGAAGATGCCTGGTAAGTGGCTGTGGTTTGTGTCGTGCGGAGGTGGGTTCAGGGCATAGGAATGTGGGAGGCTGGCTGTGTTTCTGTGTGCTGGACATTTCCCTGTGCAGCTAATCATTACGGTGGAACAGGGAGTTGATGCACACTGAGATCTCACAGGAATCCCCCAGAGAGATCTCTAGGAAAGGTTCCTGGAGGTACTCGGCAATCCTCTGCCGAAAGTTCCTTGGCAGAGCAGCTTTGTTCCTTCCCCTCATTGTAGGAAACTTTCTCGCGCCATTTGGCAATCACTTATTGGGACCAAAGTGGCACATAGGCAAGCTGCGTAGGGATCAGGATGGAAGCCACAAGCATGTACTAGATGTACCCTTGCTTCCCTGCTTACCCTCAGCAGTGACATATCTGCTACAATGACCCTCACCTGTGGAAAAGTGTGGGAGAATTTTAGAATTTTTTTCTTGTTGGCTGCACCGGAACCCTTGCGGAGCACCCTTTTCCTCATGTAGAGCACCCCCCCAGCCAACACTCACCATGCTTTGGGTGTTTGCCAAGATATGTGTTTGCCAAGGGTCAGTGAGAAAGTGATTGTAATGTTACCAGAGGTGTATTTTACTGAAATGTGTCAATGCTGTGCATGAACTTAACAATCATGCTTCTGTGCATTGTTCCTTGTGCTTCGGCAGATGTGGCCTTCAGGAACACTCCGCACATACCGGCCAAGCATCTCCGCCAGATAAGAAAGCGCCCAAGACGGAGCAAAGAAGACATATTCCGGGAGGTACTGCACTTCTCCAATGCAGAGAAAAGGGAACGCAAGGAGTGGAGGGAAGTGGAAAGGGAGGACAGAAAAGAAAATCAGGAGTTTGTAAAGGACGCTACTGAGCAGATGATTAAAGTCATGGAAGAGCAAACACAGATGCTGAAGTCCTTAATAATCCTGCATACTGAGCAGATGCATGCCCGCCCTCCCCTGCAGCACATTCAGAACTCTTTCACTCCCCCCAAACTCTGCCCACATAGTCCTTTCTGGGAGTTCTCTGTTTCCCCTTGGACAACTTTCAAAATGATAGCTGGACATACACACAGCTTTGAAAGTCTGCCCTTCCCTGGTACCTCCTTTCCCACCAAGTGTGTGTGGTTTCTTGTTTAATAAAAGCAAAGTTTTTGAACAGTAACTCATCGTTATTTGTTTCCTATGAATTGAGATAGCAGGCACTACCAATACATACACAGGCAGTGTAATCATTTGCTTACTGGAATGTAAGACCCCAAATGTCACCATTGCTTCTGAGGAAAACTACATGTAATGTAACATTGCAGCACCAATCACAGAGATATACATTACTGGTTCTCATTTTGAAAGTGTTGCCTCAAAGCCTCCCTGATTCGAATTGCCCCCCTCTGGGCCCCTCTGATAGCCCTGGTATCCGGCTGCTCAAAATCAACAGCCAAGCGGTCTGCCTCAACACTCCACCCCGAGCAAACCTTTCACCCTGAGCTTCACAAAGATTATGCAACATGTAACATGCGGCTATGACCATGGGAATATTATCCTGATTGAGGTCTAACCTGCCATAAAGGCAGCGCCAGCGCGCCTTTAATCTGCCAAAGGCACATTCCACTGTCATCTGGCACCTATTCAGCCTGTTGCTGAGCTACTCCTTGCTGTCGTCCAGATTTCCCGTGTAAGGTTTCATGAGCTGCGGCTGTAAGGGGTAGGCCGGGTCTCTCAGGATCACTAGGGGCATTTCAACATCCCCCACTGTAATCTTCTGGTCGGAAAGAAGGTCCCCGCTTGTAGCTTTCTATACAGGCCGGTGTTCCTGAAGATGTGTGCATCATGCACCTTTCCGGACCACCCTGCGTTGATGTCAGTGAAACGTGCACGGTGACCCACAAGAGCCTGCACCACCATGGAGAAATACCCCTTCCTATTGATGGACTCCATCGCAAAATGGTCTGGTGCCAAAATTGGAATATGCGTGCCATCTATTGCCCCTCCAGTTAGGGAAACCCATTTCCGCAAAGCCATCCACTATTTCACGCACATTTCCCAGAGTCACAGTCCTTTGTAGCAGGATGTGATTAATTGCCTTGCACGCTTGCATTAACGCAGCCCCAACGGTCGACTTCCCGATTCCAAATTGATTCATGACCAACCGGTAGCAGTCTGGAGTCGCCAGCTTCCACACAGCGATTGCCATGCACTTCTCTACCGATAGGGCAGGTCTCAATCTGGTGTCCTTGCACCATAGTGCTGGGGCAAGCTCCGCACATAGTTCAAGGAAGTTGGCTTTCTGCATTTGAAAGTTCTGTAGCCACTGCTTGTCATCCCAGACGTGCATGACATACGATCCCATCATTCAGTGCTTGTTTCCCAAGCCCAAAATACGATGGTCCACCCTCTGCAGCTGTTCCGTGAAAGCCAAAAGCAATCTAAAGTTGCTCCTATCCATGTCACACAGCATGTCAGGTAACTGGAAGTATTCTTCAGTTAGGAACTTTCCGATGGCAGTGCAGTTAACCACGATGTCCTCATGATAGTTATCAGAGCATAGGAGAGCAGTGTAGGATACATCCCTTCTCACAAAGATGCCGGGGTGCACAGCAAAGCAGGGCCATTGAAAAATGCCGCGAAAGAAAGCCGGAAGCCTATGGAATGCTGGGACAGAAAGCAATGAATCATGGGACATTGAGCCAGGTCCCAAGCTGCGCCACGATCTGCTCCGCCTTCCCACAATACCTAGCAGCAGAAGGTATCGAGCTGGACCGTGGGATAGGTACCCCCAGTGCATTGCTCATATTGTCGATGATAGTGCCCCAACTGTGGATGCGCTGTGCCGACAAAGGGAGCGAGTGTGAACATGACATACAGATTTTTATTATAGCGATTTTTGAGTGTCGACAGCACTTTTGTTGACAAAATTCTGTAGTGTAGACCAGGCCTGACTTCTCCCTTGTTTCTTTTTTGCAGCTGAAAATGTTTTACTAAAGATCTGTGAACAAACCAACCAATCCATGAATATAAATGTACATTTTATAGCATCTCTGTGTACCCCATAGCTCAGGCTGCCTGGCCTCCTGCAAGTTACGTACATATAGTATAAGCCACTGCAGCCATAGGCAGACAGCTAATTAAGGACACTATATCAAAGTGTTCCTCTGCTTCCTGCCTTGTACTAGAGGCTCTCCTCATCTTTCAGTGCTTGCTAATGGAAGGAGAGACAGACAACTGGCTCTGCATGGCTTCCCTATCCTCCCAGTTAGTTCCTGGCTTGCATCAGCTTAATTTGCAGAGTACATGCAAAATAGACTATTTAAAGAGAAGACATTTTAAAAATATACACAAATGTGAAATATATGTAGGCTACTTTGGACTGTAAATATTTCTTCTTTACACTCAGAGGATGCCATTGCAATCTTAGCTAGCACAGAACACTGATGCTATATGTGTTAATCTTTCACAGAAAATTCCCATGGAAGGAAGCAAGGGCATGCAGACCACTTGATCGATAACATCTGAGACACATGTGAGCTCTGGCTATCAGTCTGTGTGGCCACCTCTACTGGATTTTAAAGACGTGCATTTGGATTTTCTGGCAAAGAGCCCCAGTCTAATTACCGCAGCACATTCTCTCCACCTCTCTCTAAAGTCCTGGGGGTGGGGAAGGGAGGAAGGGGAAATGATAGTTAACAAATTTCCTGACACTTCAGCAGTTTCACTCTGTATAAACTGGGTGTGCTAAGCAGGAGTTTATGGAGGCTGTACATCTAAAGTCTGGCCTGCTCTGATAAAGAGGGGGAGGAGGGGGGGATTGAAGTGACTGACTGACTCAGTGATTCATTGGCTGATTACATAAGGCAGCGCTAGGCTACACAGGAAAGTCAAGTTCAGGAGCTACCGGTTTTTCCCTTCTGACTTCTCAGCAGATGACTGTAGGGTAGAACTACAGTGTCAAGAAACTGCTCTCCCTTCCAGCCACAGGACTAGTATCTTGTTCACACAGATCGGGGTAGCTATAATGTGGAGATAGGGGATCTTGTGTGGGAGGCATCTCAGAATCATGAGGTAGGTGAAAACTCTCCTAGGCTCTTCCAGAGTTCCTGCTTTGGACAACAGCATGGGAGAGGAGGAAACAGGATATTCTGATACGCAGGTCTCTCAATCTCTCCTGTTGAAGCTGTTCCACTGTTTATAAATAATTAAGTAGTCAATGGAGTAGGGAACTACACAAAAATGACGACCCTAGTTAGGCAGAAATTAAAAAGAGCAGTCACAAGGGTATATAATAATGCCACTATATAAATACATGGTTCCTGAATACGGTGTCCAGTTCTGGTCTCCCCATTTCAGAAAGGATACAATGGAAATGGAAAAGGTTCAGAGAAGGGCAACAAAGATGATCCATGATAAGGAACGACTTCCATACAAAGAGAGACTAAAAAGATTAAGGCTATGCAGCTTAGAAAAGAGACGACTAAGGCGGATATGTAGAAGTCTAGAAAACCATAAATGGTGTGGAATAGAGAAGTGTTATTTACCCTTTCCCACAATACAAAAACCAGTTGTCCCCTGATGAAATTAATAGGGAGTATGTTTAATACAGAAAAGAGGAAATACATTTTCACACAATGCACAACTAGCCTGTGGAACTCACTGACATGGGATGTTGTGATGGCCAAATGTATAACAGGGTTCAAAAAAGAACTGGATAAGCTCATGGAGGATGGGTCCATCAATGGCTATTAGTCAAAATGGTCAGGGAGGCAACCTGGTGCTCAGAGTGACCCTAAGCAGGAGTGGAAGACGGGGATGAATTGCTCCATAACTGCCCTGTTCTGTACTCTCCCTCTGAAGCTCTGCTACGGGCTACTGTTGGAGACAAGATACTGGATAAGAGGGACCATCGTCTGACCCAGTATGGCAGCTCTTATGACATGAACCTGGTCATGTCATGAACTTGATATGAACTCACTCCCAGGTGAGTGCCCTAATCACCAGGCAATAGAGTCACTCTCAATCTCTCTCTGGCCCTATGACTATTTAATTATTTATACTCAGTGGAATAGCTTCAACAGGAGAGAGTCCCACATCAGAATATTCTATAGCTCGGTGGTTAGGCCACTCTCCTGCTGAGGGAGACCCAGGTTCAAATCTCTTGTTCACATCAGGTAAAGAGGGGAATGGAACCTGGGTCTCCCACATTTGTAGGAGAATGGCCTGACCACTTATAAAGGAGGCATACACACACCCCACCAAAACAAATTTTTCACCCAGCTCAATCCCTGACAACCTACAGCAACAATTCACTGGCCCAAATAATTTTGACAATGACCTGCTGCAGAACATGCCTATTCTGTCCGTGTCGGACTGTCACATTCATGTTCAGCATGAAGGATCGTTTTAAGTCAAGTCATGCTCCAAGCCTCATCCACATATAAATTTTACTTCCAAGGTAGTGCTGTGCTTTTCTGAAGTCTTGCTAGGCATATGGCAGGCCTGCAAACCTGCGGAGTCATAACTGCAGATGCTGAGCTGACACATACAGGGAAGACTGTTCGAGGAGTGAGAGTCTAACACCAGGGAAGAAAGGAAGAATTGTAATTCAATAATTCACCAGTTCACCACAGGATTCCTTCCCAGCAATTTGTTAAATTCATCTAGGGGAACAGCCAAAGTGCCATTTCAGTTGGACCTGCCTTCTGGTGGTTGCAAGAGAGACAGATCTATCTCTTACATACAGAACACCGATATACCATGGGCCTGATTCAGATCTCTCTCACACGAGTGTAAATTAGGAACAAAAACCAGTGTATGCGAGAGAAGAGTCAGGTTCTATACCTTCTATCACTTTTAGCGATGACTTTTGGCAGGGAAAACTAATCCAGATGCATCTTAAATCCCAACCTCTAATAACCTTCAACAGTCTTTGAGACAATAACTCATGACACTGTTGAGGCGCCTATAAAAGGATATCTTTCCTGCAGAGGTTTAGCTGGGAGAAAAAAAGCACTTGAAATGGAATATACCCATTTTCCTTCTCTGCTTTGCCACATCCCTTTCTCTCCCCTGCCTCTGTTCCCCTGTGCAGATGCAGGACAGTTGTGCACCTCAGCAGACAGAGGTGGGTGGGATGGGAGAGTACTCAAATAAGTTTCTCCAGCTACAACAGTGTGTCCCACCACCAAACAAGTACAGTAGTTGCATTAGCTGGTTGCCATGACAAAGCTGTGGGAGGCAGCTGCTGCTCACATTTCATCAGACAGGATCACTCAAGTTTCTCCCCA